ATGACATCAGTAAAAGCTACTATGTTTGGGAAAATTTAACTGAAAATGGTAAACAAAAGTCGACAGTTTACAGATAATACTAAATACCACCATCTGAACTTTCCATGATTCTTCCTTCTGATTTCAAACTACCATCACCTCACTGTATGTCATATTCGACCCCTACCACAGTACTCATCTTACCCTTTCTGAGCCTTGGTGTCTGTCTGTTTCTTTTACATCTGTGAATCACTCTTCTGTTCTCCCTCTCGAATTCTTCTCATTTTGATGTTCCTCCTCCCCTCTGTGAAGCCCGAAGTCAACTAAAGGGCTAATGATAACTATCAAAACGCCTGCCATTTGTTATAAATAAATCCTTCAAAAAAAGAAAATAATTGCACATTTATTATTGAAATCGCATATTGCATTTTAAAACGAAAGAAATAAAAAAATTTTATGGGCAAAATTCAATTATAAAAACACTGCAACAAATGATTATTACGCAAGTTCATTCAAATCCTTTATAAGAAAATTTTGGTTCAATTTGTCTTTAATTAAACTTGCAAAAGCCCATATTGAAACTATTTAATTTGTAAAATGGTAAACTAAAACCACTTTTGCTTTAAAATTCTGATATTCATATTTACATTTCTTTGCAAATAGAAGTACTCAAAAATTCCTACTCATTAAAGTCTAATTACATGATTGACTAAAATCAATTTTAAAGTCGTAGCTAAAATAAGTATTTATATTATAATATTAAGTGTGTTTTGGTTTGAGCATTTATAGTAATTTACTTGGCATCCTTATTTTTCCATGCGCTTCGTTTGAACGAGAGAATTAGCGGTTCGGCAGGCATGCCAACATAGTGGCGTGGTTGTGTGTGAGTAAGTTGTACAATGTCCTCCTTCAGATTTGTAATGTTCAATTTGTCTTACTGATTGTCCAATGCCTTTTTTTCCTTTTAGGTCGTTATCGTAAATAACAAATGTCTTGGTAAGTAAATATGATGAAAAACTGTCCCTATTTGAATGCGTGATTTTTGATTAGTCTTTCTGATTTATTTGATATGCTAATGCATATTTTAATTTAGATAAACGCAATGTTCATCCAAATTTGGTGCGAGATAACTCTTTAGGGGGCGAACTCAGTCATGGTAGGTGATGATAATTTGGTCCGTGTTTCTGATCATTGATTGCACTTCTAACCATCTGACGCTATATTTTTTTGTAATTACAACAATTTCCCCTTTTTTAGACCAACTGAACTGTTTAGAAGCTAATTGCTTGATATATCCAGAGTAAGTGATGATAACATGGTCCGTGTTTCTGACCAATGATTACAATTTAATAATCTGATTTCTTTTACAAGTCAAATGAGTTAATCGGGATTTTTTCATTTTAGATTGCAATCCTAGACAAAGCTAACATCCTTTTGAGGATTACTGTGTGTCAAAAATTTATTTGAACAAGCAAATGTTCAACTCATTGCCATTTACCTGTTGCAAAATTTGGTTTGCGTATGGAATACAAGTTTTTGTGTATAATCTTTCAGAGAATAAATCAAATTCGCCGTAATGCCTGCCTTTTTGTGGCTGACCAACTTTATTGACTGCGGTGGTTGGAGTTTCAAGCCCATTTGTCGTAAACGGTCTTACAGTGTCACTTGTGATTGAAATATTTTAGCCTCGGGCTTCATTGTCATCTAGTGGACGTTTTGGTTTGAGTTGTTTAGGCAATATTATTTCTTAATTACCCTTTGTTGGTAATATGAAATTCAGCAGGGATAGGGAAGAACGCTGGTTTTAGTTCAATACAAGATTAATGAAATGGGTATGGTAATGGCTTCTAGAAAATGGAATGTGTACGCCCGGGTTTCGATCTTGATGTGCTTCGTTAAATTGCCCATGATTCCAATTGTTCCTTTACTGATAAGTACTGTTTGTTCTGCTTGCGGCCATCTTGAATCAAAAGCACAGGGATCATTCGGGATAATCACTTGTGCAAGAGATGGAAACATGAAATAGCACTGGGTCTTCATTGAGCTCGAGTACTCAGTAACACTGTCTTCAGATCATTTGTGCAACTGGAATAGCAATCTGGCAAGATGGGGTTGCAGGATGTGCTACCAAGCCAAGTTTATGATTTTGTTACGAGAACTTAGTAACGTACGTGAGGAGTTGCCTTTACTAAAAATGCATTCATGCGTCCAAGCGAACAGAAATCTGCGATAGATTGGTTACACAGTATCTCATTTAATTCTGAATTCAAGCTCATGAGTCTGATCTGCTGGCGGATCTACTAGCATATAAATTAGCCCGATTAAGTTATTTTAAATTATTGACGGATTCGAGCGAAGATAGTATGCATCATTCCATGTACAATAGATTACCGGATTCCATGCCTGCTTCGGCAAATTCGATTTTGCCACTGTTATGAATCTAATGAATTCTCGAATCCCCCTCTGAACGTGGTGGCAGCCTTAAAATATTAATGATGAAGCCTGTAATTTAATTAAGCTTCAAGTGCCTTCCTCAGCGAAGTTGGAAAAATGGCGGTTATTAGGGTAAACTGACGTAGAAGGAATAAGACTTTTCTTGACCCCCACTCTTAAGGATATTAAGATTAACACTTTAAAATTTTTAACTTCAGATTTGAGATGGGTAATTTTCAAGTACTTATCAGGCCACAAATTTACAGGTCTGCATGTTTTTTGCTGAAAGTGAATCCTTAATAGCTAGGAATTGTTTTATATATTAAATAAATTCTGTGGATTTAAAATCGCGAGTTCATGCTTGAAGTAGTTTACAATTCGGTAGAAAGATATGTGAAGTGAATAAGGCCTGAAAAGTATCACGATATAGGGTTTCTTCGAAGCCCACATTTGAAATCAGGTAAAGAGAAAACAGATTGAAATTTGGAGGCTTCAAATAGAAAATTCAAGCATGAAAGAAATCAGTTATTTTTAATGGAGATATTTTAATTTATAATGTGATTTATTTCGCATCTCATAAACAACATTCAAAAATTAACATTTATTTCCCGAATTAACAAAGTTCCTTCGGAGTGAAAACTTATTTCTAGACGATGATTTCCTTTTAGTGAAAGTTCGCCCATCATTACATTTGTGTTATACAATCTTCAAGGAAAGTTATGCATATTTGGTGATGGAAGACAATTTTAAATGCTCCTAAGAATAAACATAAAGAAGTAGTTAAGTTAAAAATATGAATTCATATGTTTAGAATACAGGTTAAAAGGTCAATTAACAACGAATTTTGTCTCATGTGATGAATTCAATAATATAAAAGCCATCTATATCCAAGCAATTTAAAAATATAACTTATTGTGGAAAAGACAAATTACGATAGTTGTGAATAGAATTTTTATGCAAAGGGGGAAACGAAACGAAAAATAAAATGGTTCGATGGAATTCTAAATTTTCAGCTATTGAGACACTAACAAATCTAATTTGAAAAACTTATTTTTCATAATAATTTTGACAAAATTGCAAAATTATAATTTAATTGCTTTCTGCTTTGAATGTCATAATTTAAGTTGAAAAAAAGAAGTCAAAATAAAATAATGAAATCACGCAACTAATATAAAAAATTTAAAAAGTAGGACAAGACACGTATTTTTGATTAAAAAATAAACTTAATTTTGTTTTTTTCTTATAACCCACATTTGTTTAGCTGAATTCTGCATGTCTACCTTCCGGCACATTTGTTGTTCAACGCTTATCACGAACACGTCTCGGTATGGCTAAGGAAAAGACCCACATCAATCTTATTGTCATCGGTCACGTCGATTCTGGCAAGTCTACATCTACTGGCCACTTGATCTACAAGTGCGGTGGTATTGACAAACGAACTATTGAGAAGTTCGAGAAAGAAGCTGCTGATGTAAGCTCATATTTTAATGTTGATATGTTTCTGTAGATCGGCAAATCTTCTTTCAAATATGCCTGGGTGTTGGACAAACTTAAGGCAGAGCGTGAACGTGGTATTACTATCGATATCGCTCTTTGGAAATTCGAAACTCCCAAGTACATGGTTACCATTATTGATGCCCCTGGTCATCGTGATTTCATCAAGAACATGATCACTGGCACTAGCCAGGCCGATTGCGCCATTCTTGTCGTTGCGGCTGGCGTTGGTGAGTTCGAAGCTGGTATCAGCAAGAACGGACAAACCAGAGAGCATGCTCTTCTCGCCTTCACTCTTGGTGTAAAGCAGCTCATCGTCGCCATCAACAAGATGGATGCCGTCAAGTACGATGAAAAGCGATACAATGAAATCGCAACTGAGATGAAGTCATACATCAAGAAGGTCGGTTATAGTCCGGATAAGGTGCAAATGGTGCCGATTTCCGGTTGGGAAGGTGATAACATGCTTGAACAAAGCACAAACATGTCATGGTACAAAGGACCAACTCTTCTACAAAGTATTGACATGATTGAACCACCAACTCGCCCTGTTGATAAACCACTTCGTCTTCCTCTTCAGGTAAGAGAGTAATTAGCATGCATAACGGTTTTCTTAGGATGTATACAAGATTGGTGGTATTGGTACCGTTCCGGTCGGCCGTGTTGAAACTGGAATCATGAAACCCGGTATGGTTGTTACCTTTGCTCCGGCCAATATTTCAACTGAAGTAAAGTCAATTGAAATGCACCACGAGTCATTGGCTGAAGCTGTTCCCGGTGACAATGTAGGATTCAACGTCAAGAATATTTCCGTCAAGGATATTCGACGTGGTAACGTTGCTGGTGATTCCAAAAACGATCCACCAAGAGAAGCAGCTGATTTCACTGCTCAAGTTATTGTGCTTAACCATCCCGGAGAAATTGGTGCTGGTTATACACCGGTTTTGGATTGCCACACTGCTCATGTTGCGTGCAAATTCGCAGAACTTAAAGAAAAAATTGATCGACGAACTGGTCAAGTAAAGGAGACAAATCCGTCCAAGATCAAGTCGGGTGATGCTGCTATTGTTCAGATGGTACCAAGCAAACCCATGTGCGTCGAGGTATTCTCCAATATTCCTCCTCTTGGTCGGTTTGCGGTTCGTGATATGCGTTCGACTGTTGCAGTAGGTGTTATCAAAGCTGTTAACTTCAAGGAGAAGGAGGCTAAGGCTACTAAATCTGCACAAAAAGCTACCAAGGGAAAGAAGTAAAATGGTGTTTTTTGTATTCGGTTAAAGTGTGGTATCAATAAAGCTTTCCACATAGGATATTCGACGTCTTAATAAAACTTGGCGGGATTAACATGTTGATTATTTTAAGTCGATTTAGTTTTGTATGGTAAATTGGTGTCGAAGTGTGTGTGAGCGTGGATGTTCAAGCAGCGCTTATTTCCGGTTTCGTATCGTGCACTATTCGGCTCGGGTATTTTAAATTGTAGTTATAGTGCTATTTCACTAAGCAATTAGTTCACTAATGTTGAGGATTGGCGTTCTCGGCCAAAATTTGGATATAGTATGTGGGCTTTCAAGGTGTAATTAGTTCTTTATTAGGCGTTAGGGTTATAGGTTGGATATCTCGCAACTTCTTTTTAGAATTGGGAATTATTCGTACTGCAAATGCGGCCGAGGTGTATGTTGGTCCAGGTATTTGGACTAGTATTTGATAATGTTTGTCGCAGGTGATGAAGACAGTGTAGAGGATGAAAGTTATAAGAGGATTTCTTCCAAATAAGAAGCAATTATGCAAAATAGTCATTTTAGGCAGAATCGTCATGATTTTGCAAGCATTGCTTTAGCGCAGGTGTTTCGATGTGAAATGCCGTTATCGATTTTTGGGGCGGGAGGAATGACTCATATCCAGGGGCATTAAGTTCATTCGGTACTGTCGCAACGTGCTGCTTTTAAGACTAAAGTTTTGCAGCAAATTACCCGAATTTGCTAAATTGGAAGGTATTCACTTAACACTATGGCATACTTATGTTTCATAAGTAGGGTAGGCTAATCATATGAGAGGTCAATCCTAATTAAAGTGCTACATTGGCGATAACGGAACAAATTAACAAGTTTAATAACCGGTGGTAAGGACTAATTAGGTGCAAATACTTAAATAAGTGTCGACAAATTCTATTAATTTTTGAATTTGATAATGAATTTGCGGAAGGTAGGCACACGTATACGGCATAACTAATCCTCAGTAATCCCCATGCCAAGATGCCTCCAACAATTTAGTGGAAGCACATTTACTTAGATTGTGTGGCTGCTACAGGGCTTAGTCATTAAAATGAAATGATTGGTTTGTTAAACCAGGCAGGGACTATTGATTAGTTGAATGCTCTATGCACTAACGACCGTACTTACTACCCGCACAACAAGTAGCACGGCCATGCCTTCGAGTCTGTCTGAGTGCGCATGAGATTTCTCTGATCAGTCATGACGGCGTTTAGCACTATACAAATATCAGTTAATAGATCTAGCCTCTTATAAATTGGACATATTAAGTACTTGGACAAAGATCTAATATATTTAAGGTAGTGTACTCAACTCCAAACTATGGCAAATATTAGCTAGAAACATTCTGGAGGAACTATTTTGAATAATTCTTCTTAATAAGTGAGTATCACCCATAACATTAAATTCAGACTTTAATAATACGGTTGGTCAGAGTCTATCAAAGCCAACAATTAGACTGGGAGTTGTGTAGTCTCCTATGAAGACCTGATCTGCCATTCCTGTTACGATGGTCAGTAAACCGAATCAAATTATCGGTGACTAATCAGCTTGAATTAGACCCAATTGCCCTTGGTTCGTGGTAAGAGTTGAAGTCGTTGCTCAAAGAAAGACCCTGAATACATCGAATCTGCCGAATTCAAAGAGAAGATTACAGAGCCAAGGAGAGGCTCCTACCATGGGCACAAAATGCAGAGCAAATGAAGGATGAGATCTCCCAATCAAAGCCAAAAGTGAAACATTTTTTATAGGTGCCCATGTTGTAAACATTAAGCCACGTATTTTAAGCATGAAGTCAAATGATTTCCTCGTGAATATTTAGACTTCTTAAAATTGAATTATTGGTGGAAAACCTCCAAAGGAATTACTAGTAGGAAGAAGAAGCAGACTGAAATTAAAGAAAGAAGAAATAAACACAAGCTCATAAGGTCTCGAAGACGTTCCACGAGGAAGACCTTGCTTAAATAGGGTAGTAACAAGTCGTAATATCACATTAATCAGAGGAAATGGCGTTTATTCTTCATTACCCCTATATTTACCTTATTCATTCGCCCACTTCAAGGTCATAATTAAATCGATTTTGCAAATAACTGGCGTGTGGGTTGCTCGCCCTCTCTTCACTATGACATTGTGTTTGCAGATCGTAAAACACAATGAAAAAAAACTTCATAAGTGCAAATCCATTACTTACAAAAGGTTGAACGAGAGATGGTAGTATGAATAATTGCAGAACGCCATTTCAATGCTCGATATGGTTTCCTGAAGGTGGCTTTCGTACGGTACAAAAGAATCCCTAGTCTAGCAAATTTAAGCATAGAAAGAAGGGTGTAAAGAGTAAGGAAAAGTGAGATACAATTATGCCATTTTTTCTTAAAGCAAAAGCAATAGAAAGAAACTAACATGTGAATGTGAAAGGCCATTTTTGCCTAGTTTAGGCCCCACTTTCCTGGTGCACAGTCCTTTGGCAAAGTAAATGTCATCAATGTCAAAGTCAAGTTTTAATCAAATTTAAATCTCCCCCGCCTTGATGATCTTTACGACAAGTTGGAACAGTTACAGGACAGCCTTTAGAGAATTTTGGCATAGTGACACCGATATCGTAGATAGTTACCATGTGGTCAATATTGAAAATCGAAATAACGAGAAAACTAAATATCCCTCGATATTTATGAATTGTTTTATTGGTTATTTTATAGAGTTTGTTTTATATTTTCCCCAATTTAGCCTATTTTCATCGAACTACTTTTAACTGTCACACAAGCTCTGAACTAGGTTTCTCTAATGACGCATAAATTGTAGAAGGTGAACAACTCACCACTGCACGTAGAGAATTAAGAACAGTAAAACATGACCTGACCAACAGAAAGGATACACATTGTTTATGGTAAGCTCTCAATAAGCCATTTTGGGAATAGACCCAACGCACACACTTATTATTGAGGCAATACGTGGTTGAGTTAGAATGGCATGTACTACCAACACCCCAATAGCACATGAGATAAGAGTGATTCACATTCGGGTGTTCGTTCGTTTCTAGCTTCAAGTGAATTCCATCTATTTATTGAAATGCCAGAATCCCAATGTTCAAAAAGTAAATATAATTAACCTTCAGAGGTACCTTAACTTCAAAAATCTTACAAGATAATGATTTTTTAAGTAGGAACATTAATTACCTGAACATTCAAAGTGCACAAGTTATTGAATAAATTGTTCATAAATTTGTAATGAGAATAAGTTGTAACTTCAGGGAAGAAAGTGTAGTAATTAAAGACTTACTGTTTACCTAAAGAACTTGCTCCGAGTGAAAAACTTCGCATAAATCCATCAGTCAACTGAGAGATAGGGAGAGAAACGTCTATCCACAACAGGCTTTTCACAATAATATCAAAGCTTTTTCAATCTTGACACAAATTAGTGCTCATTTGAAATGAAAAAAAGTTCAATCTGTCTAACAATTTCTCCTTACCTTTCTCAATATTATCTCCGACGTTTAGTAAATATATGTACATATGCATGACAATTGACAATATTATTAAGGCTTGCCTACTAAATTAGATGGTCAAGGTTTAAAATTTCGTAAATAAAACCGCTCTATTGGCCAGGCAAAATTAGACTAAGAGATATCCTCCTACAAAGCGAATGGCCTTGGTACAGTCAAAAGGATACAACCTACATTGCCAATGCCAGAAGACTTAAAAGTATTAGCACCACTGTTGTTTAGGAAAAACATAATGAGAAAGGAAGGGGGGAGGGAATAGAAGGAGGTATTGTGAATTGGAAGGAAGGGTAAAAGAATCAATATCGAGAGAGTGGAACCGGGGCTACGTTCAGGTACAATGAGGGGCGTTTCGCGACCAATCACTACAAAAACTCAATCACCAATTAAAGAGGGGTATGACTCTCAACATCTATAGAGAACAGGACCATCATCAGGCGCATATTTTTGAAAATTTTTATCACCATACCAAGGCTGTCAATAAATTCTCCCAGTTTGCTATTACTCGCGTTCAATTCGCACCTAGTGAGAAATTTTAGCACAGCTTCATATAACAACAACCCTCTTCAAAGTTTACCTTATCGAGATTCCAGAGAATTAGAGTGGTTTCTAGCTGAAATGGAATGAACACCTTTACAGTAACCATGACTACTTTAAATTCACTCCCACCTCCCCACCCCCCCTCCACCCAAACGCCACCGCTTATTCAACTTGAGCGAAATATGCATTGAAACAATAAGGGAATGGTTCAATCGTAACCGACGACTAGAATATGACGCTCATTCGAGCGTCTACAGAACACCACCCCCTCCAAATTGAAATCTTTCAAATATTTCATAATATGCACAAACTCCATTATTTCCACCATTAAACAGCAAACAGAGAAAATTTTATATATTTTTTTATTAGGAGAAAACAGTTAAGCACCAGGAATTGTAGAAGCTGGTAGCTACCTGTTTGGATTTCTGGATCCTAAATGCTTTATCTGGTGGGACTCGTCATCGCAGGATTTGGAGTGTTCGGCCGTGCACATCTGAGCTCTGCTCAGATATTTAGGTATTAATGCTCATTTAAGTTATGCTAGATTTATTTGATAACTATTCGCATTTGCCGAGATCATAATTTACCATAAATGTGTTCTGCCTAATGGGTCTCCTTCCTCCCTAGCTTCGCTGTACCTTAGCTAGTTCAGGGGTCTAGTCAGATATGGGAGATACTGCCGTAGAGATTGCTGAGACGATCAAGGCTTTACCAGTGTAGCGTTCCTCTACAATCTATGCATATGATATTCAACGCATTTAGTTAATCTATGATTGTAAACTGTTTTCAGTCAAATGACACATAGGAAAGCAGCTTGGCCACCGTTCAAAGCGGAATAAAAAGCCAGGGAGTATGAAATCATAAATATTTATTAATACTTTTGAATCGTGACAAACTTTATTACGATTTATGATTTACAGGAAAAAAGATCGGATGGGTTAGACATTTT